TGATCTGTAAATTATAATTAGCATAAAGTAAGTCCAAGAATAAAAATGGGTGAATCTTTAGTGCCACAGTAATGCAGAGCCGCAGCGGCTTATTGAGGAAAGTGTCGCCGTGGATACATCCTCACTGTTATTAACACCTGGCAAGATTTTTTTCTTCAAACACATGTTTTCTCACCTTTTATGGGGCATTTAAGTGTAACAGAGCTGGAAGCTCAGGAGACGGGAGTGGCACAGATCACAGGTACACCGCTGGAACAAACCCAAAGCACAGACACGTGTGTGCTGTAACCATGTAGCTAACAGGACGCTACCAAAAATGGATGTTGTTTACAAATGGTGTGATATTTTCCCATGAGGGTGGATCAACATCACCCAATGCTTGTGTATCAACTTAGCACAATGTGGTGCCTATAGGGTGGTTTTACATTACAGTTGAGCCCTGAATCACAAATGCTAATGGTGGGACCCATTTAGCTTTAAAACGCAGCTGATCACTGTATGTGTCCTCGTGTATGTTCGCTTTATATAAAATGTAATACAGTGATTTTGAGATGAGCATAACGGCTGGACTGGTGTGAAATAGCAGAGCGACTGATTACCTGTAGCAATGCTTACCCTCGCCACACTTTCAAAGTCGAGAAAACCTAAGAACAGATAAGATGTTTATTTATGAGGCTTTGACTCGCCTCAGATTTCCACTGCATGAAATAAACACTCTGAACCAGGAGCAGAAGCCTATCGTCTTTCTTTTATTTGTTATATTTCATGCAGTTCATTCTGTTCATGGTGCAACAGATCCATATGCAGTAGTCTGCTCCACATTGATGCTAGGTTATCTGGGTTTCAGTCTGTTCTTTTAATTGAAGCTACGTAGTTTAACTTTTTCCAGCAATAAAATCAAATAAATATTATCATCACGGTACATTGTGCTCCATAATTATAATGTGTATTTGTTGACCTTTATCAGCATTACTGTGCCAGTCCTTGTTGTAGTGTTTAAAGCTCTACATTAGATACACTTTGAACAAGTGACAGGTGCTAATGGCTTCATATATCACGTGTTGGCGCTACACTGGGAGCTGAGGCGGCCTTCAGTTTGAAACAAGCTGTTTTAGCTCCTTTTAAGGCCAACCGCCCTTTTTTCTCCACCTTACAAACACACAGAATACATGAACAGCGGATGGGTGGTGCCTTTAGTGGTCGACGCCAGAACTGTGCCTGAGACAACTGAATGAAAAATACTTTGACATCATCCAAAGTCAAGAAGTGTTAAAGACTTTAAAGTTCAGTTCAGCCATCTTTCATATGGGCGTCCAGCATTTTAACATTAAAGCATCAAAGACCACTTTTTAAACAATGTTCGTACGCTTGTTTGGATTCAGTGCTGAATAGACGGGGCAGCAGGCCCGAGCTTGAAACTACGACCGTTCGCCATTTTCAGAAATCACTTTTTAATCTTTTGGCGTGATGATTATTTGCCGCGTCTTAACACAAACCTCGGTTGAGGTAACGTGGCCTCCCATTTTTGTGCTTGTGTCTAATAAATGTGTTATCTGCAGTGGAGAGCAGGAGTCACACTATATTAAATAAACTGTTTGAGGATATTTAAGTACGTTTAGGAGGAATGTGGCTCATGCAAATCTTCATCTCAGTGGTGTGTGCACGTATCAATCTTTAAAAGTGTTTTTAAAACAGAATTTGCAACACTTTAATGAAGTGGTGCTTCTATGGCAAAACCACTTGAGACATGACGAAAAACTATGGCCTTATGTAACGCAGTAACATGTATACTGTGAATTTATAGATCATATATAAATATTCTTGGAGTGTATAATTGTCAAAATATACTCCTATTCATTTAAATAGATTTTTAATACTGTACGTTAAAATAGATTTGAGCAAATCTGATTCAAACTCTGCTCTTTGTAATATCTTATCACGCTGTGTAATCAGAATAATTACGTTTAATGTAACTAATAGCAGCACTGCTCAGAATATGAAGCAGTTGAAATATTTAACGTTTTGCTTCAAATGCAATTTTTTACTTTTAAGCTTAAACAACTGATAAACTGGCATTCTTTATAATATCATTCAGATAAATGTGATTTCATGTGTCACAGTAAGTAAACATGCGTCTCAGTGTCAGTGTGGATGTGGCAGACTAACGTTATTTGGGCCCTGTGGTCTTCTTGCTACACGGCGACTGCATGACTCCTGAAATCGTGTTGAGCAGCACTTCTGTACCTTTGCTCTGTATAACAATGTAAACATCTGTATATAATCTGCTCCTATTGCACTTCTGATTACATGCAAACTGTTAGCCTGTATTTAAACATGTGTAACGACAATAAAGACGTTTTATTTGAATGACCTCACTCACTTTAAGCTGAGAATAAAAAGCGTTGCCTTGGGAATACATGTAGGTGTGTTAGGGACATGTGCAGCTGCTTGGTCGAAGAGCTGTGTGTAAAAGGTAACATTTCTTGTTATTGGGCCGTGTGCTATGAGCAGCTTGAAGTCAAGCCTCTGGGTTTTTGCTCTAAATGGGAAAATCAAAGTAACAGAAAGGCCTATAATACACACAGCGTGAGGCATTTTAGCTGTTCTTCGTGTCACTTTCAGAGCTACAGGCCGGCTTTGACTTGAGGCTTTTATGAAAGCTACTTCTGAATATGCTCACATGCTTAAAATACTGCTGTAAAATATCCCCTTTTTACATTATATTTTTCATAATGTTCTGCTGGATCTTTTACTAACAAAAACTAGGATTGTTTATAGGTCGCTAAAATGAATATCCAGTGCAGATTTCACAGAGATAATTGAAACCAATTTTTAAAACAATGCAAACATCTACTTAGTAACAACAAGCTGCTGATAATAGGCTGTGATCCTGTGTTTTGATAAAGTCAAAGAGCTTATTAACCTCTGTTTACTACTTCCAGTAATTTTCCATATAGATTATCACGGTCTTCAAAAACGCACAAAAAATGAACATCTGATTAAAAATCAGCCGACTGAACCTGAGAGGACTCAGAGTCCACCAGCACCTTGTGTGAACGTCTCGTTGATATTTGAGTTACAGATGAGAAACATTCAGGATTCATGATGTGGAATTTATTTCTTTTATTTGTTGTGAGTGCTGTGGCACATGCTGGAAATGCAACTCATTTTCACGAGTGGCAACATATTTCGTAGCTATTGAGTAAGTGATTTTTATAAACACTGTAAATAAGCCCCTGTTAGCCGACATGGACGGCCAGAGCGATACGAGTTGCCTTTAGATGGGAGAATATGCCGCATTTCATTTTCCATATGTATTTTTAATTCGGAGGCATAAAGCAAAGACACCCACATTACCTCTCTGAACCTCCCAGATAAACAGGCAGATCCGTGGACTGATGAGAGGGAACAAAATGTTTATCCTTTCCTACATGTATGCAGCATTCGCTAATCAATAGCGACTCGTGATATTTGGCTTTTTCCTGTCTCATTTGCTCGTTCTCTTCCCGTTTGGTTCATTATGTCTCCTTTTCTCTTTCATGCATTCCTGTCTCTCCTTTCCATTTCTATCATCCCCCATTTTCCTCTCCTTTGTCCTCTCACCCCTGTGCGCCCACCCCCTTCGTCTCCATCCCCTTGTCCCTCTTTTTTTTTTAAATTTACTCTCAACTGCTCCTCTTTTCCTGCTGTCTTTCGTCTCCTGCATGCACCACAGTAGCTGCCTCTAAGGCAATCAAACAGTGGGAGTTTTCAACACAGCAGATGCGCTGGATGGATGGGAGGAGGATGAGTGGAAGAGGTTGAGGGTGAGCAGCACGCAGGCTGGATGCTTGGAGGAGAGAGGACAACCTACACTGGTCTATTTTATGTCAGAAAACATGCCAGAACAAAGCTTCTTCGAATCATCCACAATCAGTTTTCAACAGTTATTGATTTTAAAATGTTTAAGACTTCAGAGGGCTTATATTGAACAGGGCTTAGCCCAAAATAAGTTTTTACTTTTATATCTCGTAGCTGTAAATGATAATGTGACGAAGAGTCAAGCGTTTGCCATGCAGCATCTTCTGCACACACGAAATGACCGGGAGCATGTGGCAAGCCCGACGCAGCTTTCCCTCTCAAATATCGCCCGCTCTCCTCGCTGCTGTTATTGTTGTTTCTTCCACTGCCATGCTAATTAATGCAAGACTCTAATAATAATGTATAAGCAGCAAAACATAATGCCAAAGCCTCAGGGGAGCCAACAGCATAATTACACAACGGATTAAATTGCAAGACTTACATTGTAATTAACGCTGTGTGGCTTGTAAAGCATCATCACGCGCATGTTAAATGTTAGAAAGGCGACTGCTTAAGAGCTTCCTATCACTTGACACATCAAAAGAAATGTGGAAACTACAGCTAAGCTATAAGAGGAGTTATTAGTGGGATAAAAGAAGACGTGTGACGGACCACACTCCAGGCGGTGCGTGCGAGTGTGACAAACAAATACATAGAAAACATGTTACTTCTACTTAAAACCTGTTTGTGTGCGACGTTGTGTGCTTGAGGGAGAAAATTAAAATGCCTGTCTGTGTTTGCTCTCTTCAAAATCTCCTCTAAATAATCAAAATCTTCCTGTTGTCTCATTTTGTCAGGGAAACAGACAGAGGGGGACGTCGCTGTCCGTGGTGCTGAAAGCAAAGCCGCCACGCACCCCTCGCGCTCACCACAGCAGCCCCGTCCTCCTGCTGCTTACACGGGCTTCATTTGGCTCCATCCTCTGTGCATGTATTGATTAATTATGATTGGCCCAGCAGGTGGCGGAGGGCTAGCTTTCACACTATTAACGGCGGCCTCTGCTGTCGTTGTCTCTGGAGAAAGACATCTCAAACACCTAACGACCGACGGTGCAGCTCATGTTCGGCTTATATGGGCGAGAACATCCAGCTGTCACGCAGTGTGGTCGAAAAGCAGAAAAGCACAGGTACACACACGACAAATACACAAACAGGCGTTACCTGTATAGTTTGGCGATTGTAGACTTTAACTACGTGGAAGTTAAAACTGTAAATTCCTTTCCGTGGTGCAATGAAGTTACTTCGCTCTTCGTCAAAATTCCTCCCAACATTTACAAGAACCTGAAAGACAGACAGACAGAAATTCACTGGTACAACCGCTGTGTGCGAAACACAACTGCAACCAGCTCAAAATATTTTTATTTCAAAACTGACTTGACGAGGAAACAAACGAATTTGTGCTGCGCTTTGTGAGAAAATGGATTCTTATACAGACAAATCCAGAATTTCTTCTGTTTATTTGGTGTGGAATTGACGAATCCATTCAACCCACGTGTTTCTGGACCAGACACCCTGTTAAGACTCTGTGCCCCCCCCCCCCAGACCACACACCCAGATTCACTCATGTAGATGGAAAACTCTGCTTTTTATCGGGGATTTTTCTCCTTGTCAGAACTTCTAAACTTTAAGGGGACTGGGAGGGAACTTGATCGAGCTTTCAAATGAATTTTCCAATTATGCACTCCTGCAGCCAAATGTCTGATTTTATGGATGGAGGCGAATTATGACGTGAAATTGAACGGCAGTTTGAGGGAGAATTAACCTTTAACGGCAGCCGGGTAGGATCTCGCTCTCGTGACCTTCCCTTACTAAATTATTTGGAGAGATGTCAGTCCCCATATCCCACCCGTCAGCTCAAAAAGTTGAGATATTGAAAAGCCTCGCATACCTGGCTACACAGCCACTTTACCAATAAAATTTACCTCCTAAAAAATGAACAGTCTGTTATCTCCGACAGCCAACACCACCGGAGACACGATGCATCTGCGCACAGCTCCGCCGCTGTGGTGTTATCTATCCCCCAAGTTAACCCGCATACTTGTTTTTCGTCTTTCTAATGGTCTTACGCAACATGTCTGTTGACTGAGTGGAGTATTTATTGCGCACAGTCTAAATTCGTAGTTTGCAGGAGGGCGAAGCGGAATATCTGTGGTGCTCTAACGTGCAGGGGAAACGCCAGTTTTATTCCTGACGCCTTTGTGACATCGACTAAATTATATTTTACCCCCACCCCCGCCATCAGTAGTGAAAACTGTCTTCCCAGCATATTAATAGAGTTCACCTAAAACAGCGCGCATTCTATAGTCTACACAATAAAAACAGATGAAACTTTTATGTCATTCCTTCTTTAGGTTGTAAGAAGATTAAAAACAGACAAACACTGAGCTGGAATTTTCTTCTCTGTCACACTATGTCTTTTGTCTCCTACCCGATCGAAGTAGATGACCATAGTCCGGTTGCTCATCTCGGAGGGCTCGTGGTTGGTGTTCCGGACTGCGGAGAACGCCACCTTTGCGCTTCCCGAGCGCACCGAGATCCCGAGCGCTGTGCCCGTGGGGTCCGAGGTCGGGTTGGAGTCGCACACCACGAGGCACTTTCCCTCCAGGACGATTGGCTCCGTCTCGTTCTGAGCGCGGACCGGACTCGCCGCAAGCCACACGGCGCTTAAAAGGCAAAACGCCAGCATGCCGGAACCGAGCAGTGAACTTGTTCAGGTCGTCTTCACACCTCAAACCGGAGTGGGTCTGTTCCCCTTTTAAAAAAAAAGTCAGGTAGGAAGAGTTTCCCACTGTTCCTCGATTAACCTTAAAAGGTTCGTTTTACAACTAGGTGCAACTCCGCTGTCTTTAATTAGCGTAAGGTGAACTCCCTGGCGGAGTGTCTCAAACCCAGACGGTTTAGTTTTAGGCGTCTCCTTTTTTTTCAACAATTGCTTTATTAACCCGTATCTCCAGGCGAGTCCCCAGTTTTCGCCTGTTTCCTGTTTTCCCACCTCTCAGCAGCTTATCTGTCACTTGGAAACACAGTAAGGGAGAGTCGTGCGCGCAGCGGAAGGGCCCTGGACGAGTGACGAGGCAGCAGAACTCATAGCGCAGAGGGGGGAGCTCCGTCTGCTCTGTCGCGCGCGCTTGAATTATTGATATGTGGGATATGAGAGTTTCAAACACAAAAGGCTCAGAAGGGACGCGGCGCGCGAGCGAAAGATGCTCCCGCCCAGGTCCCACTTTTTCTTTTTTTATCTTTTTTATTTCCACAGATCCCCCCCTCACACACACACACACACCCCTCCCTGCCTCTGTAACGGAGACTCATCATCGGATTAGCGCGTGCGCGTCTTCGATATTTTCCAATCACTGCGTGCCGACCGCCCCCTCCCCGCCCCACTACTTAAGAGAGCCTCTCTCTCTCCTTTTCTCTCTTTCTGTCCCTGCTCCATCCCAAACTACTGCTTACAGTCCATCTATCTATTTATCTATCTATCTATCT